TGTCAGGAAGGAGTCGTTCGAGAGTATCCACTTCGTCTCCACTCGGATTTTTTGCACTCGGGGCGACCACAGGAGTTCCTATAAGCGCTTGCTAGTCCTGGTTCATGTTAGATTATTGTTACTCTCCCTGGAATTAACATGGAAGTGGAGAAACCACCTGTTTGTAGTGGGGTCTTCCAAGGGGCCATTCTCCACGTAACCATGTTAGTTCCAAGGAGTGTAGATGTTCATATAGATGTTGGTCGGGTCATTGTTGTTGTTGCTGCTGCTGTTGTTGTTGTTGTTGTCGTCGTCGAAGCATTTGAAGACACATCGCACACATCATAACAGCATAACACCATGCGGACGACTTGGGTGCCTCAAAGCTGGACGAGCCCACCATGTGCCTCACGTGTCTCATTGAGCGCAGAGGTTGGTTATTTGGTTCCTCCTTTGAGGTTGGAACAAGGCAGGCAAAGGTGAATGAGAAGGAAAAACCAGGGGATTCTGCAAAGCCAAGTGTTGGACCATCCGATGTTGCCGCCTAATTAGGCCAAACTCACCACGCAAAGCCAGCTTTGTTTCATGGAAAACTCATGGGGAGAACGAGGTGCTTTGCGGCTGGGGGGATGGGAACCCATCAAAACGCCGTTATAAGCGCTCCACAGGAGCGCTTATTGGGGCACACTTTGCCGCCTCAGTGAGAGTGAATCGTTTGCCCGCCTGGCATGTGGCAGAACCCGCCCAATCACCTCGACCGGAACGTCCCAATCGTCATGGAAGGCTCAGGGGTTTCTCAAGGGAAGACTCACCACAAAGGGGAAGACTCACCGCTCGTGTTTTTCGGCGAGAAAAGGCGAAAGGCCTCAGGTACAAAGCAAGATTGACCACAAGTAGGTGAAATGTCGGCAACATGGCCGCACGATGCCGCACGCGATCTTGGATTCTATGGTTTATATAGTACGTCACTTCGCTCCATTCGGAGGTGTCGCCATGGTCAAAGTACATTTTTTTGGATCGTTGTTGTTGGGGATTTCTCCAGGACCTCACCAAACCAGCAACATGTGTTCCTCCTCCACGTCACCACGTCCATCACTTCGCTTCAGTTTCCCGAAGGCCACTGTCAGGGGTAGAGCGGCGAATTTAAAAACTGCAGTGTAGATTCGGGTGCGCCCGCCCCCTCCGTTGAGCCTTGCGTTGTCACCGGACGGTGGCTCAGATGGCCCCACAGGGAGATGCCGCAGAGTTTGTTCCAGAGTTCTGCGTGAGATTGTAAAGAGGGACGACATACCAGCACCCTCCGTGGACGAATGCCCAGGTTCACCATTTGGCGTCCGGGTCTCCAAACAGTTAAACAGCCGAACCTTGGAGGGTCCTGGTAGAGATCATAGGTGGACAATTGGAAAGGCCTATACTAATCATTATCATCCACTCTTACTCGTAATGGGAGACACCCAGTACACATTGTAGGTGGCTAAAGCCTGATTGCAGATGTGATTGCAGGTCCAGAGCATCATTGGTCCAAGCGAAGTCCTGAAGGAGAGAAGCTTTGAGAAGGGAGTTGTGATTCGCGGGGGAGTTGGTTTGGGACAGGTACGTAAGAGATTCGCTCCTCCGTCCTTAACCTAACTTAACCCACCAGACTCAAGCTTTTGCCTACCACTTTTTTGAGTCAGATCATGTTGATCTTTTTGCGCGACATTTCCCTGCTAAGCTCCTTGACTGGGGCCGGGCTCCTAGGGAGCGGCAACCAATCACTTGGCTGTGGGTCTTCGGCTTTGGCGTCATATCTCAGAGCCATGTGTTGGGCCAACGTCCGAACCACTTGAGCAGTCCGTCATGTAGACTCTTGATCAAATGAAGCCCCCATGCAAGAATATGAAGGGGTTTTTAAATCGAAATGGTGGGTTCTATCGACCAAGGTTCTACACTAAGTGAGACTCGCAAAATGTTGAGTTGAGGTTCCTCGTAAGCGTCGTCAGCGCTTACTTTCAGTCCTCAGGCTACCCAAGCCACTATATTACTGTCCTAGACACTCCATGTATGGAATATTTACCTACATTGACCCCTGAAAGCACCCCAATGTTGTTCAATAGTCCACACACGGAGTGGCTGGGTACTGTATTTGTATATGCCCATTTTGGAGCCTTCACAGTCGACCAATTGAAGCCAGCAGGTCCTGTTTGACCTAGTAATTACAGTAAAACTTGGTCCTGACAACCTCATCGAGTCTCGTTTTTGCATGACCAACAGGTGCACAGAGCCTAACAACTGTGGGGTACTTCTGGGCATTTGGTCATTCTTGTGGGCTTGTATGCACTGGTCTTTGACATGCATGATCACCACGCACTACTTTTAGCTGGCTTTGGGGACCAAAGTAGACCCACCACCATGTGTTCCTTGCCATTTTTGGCTTCGAGGCCTTTGGCCAGTGCTGCTTTGGTTTAGTTGTGATCACTTGCATGTGTGTTTCCATGTGTGATCACTGCTTTGGTTTAGTTGGTTTAGTGTGTGTGTGTGTGTGTTCATTATTTTTTGTTTCCAGTTACAGCGATTCGATGGCCTGGCGGAATTTTTGACGGTTGAGGTACCGCGCAGGGTCACAGCCAGCAGCAAAAAGGGTTTGTTTCTTCTTCGGTTGTTCAATTTGTTCATTATAGGCTCCTGGCGAGTCCAAAGCCTAAAGAAGTGCAAAATAAAATGCTATGTTCCCATTGACTCCTGGACAGCTCCCCACTTCAGCGGGGAATCAAGTTTCAAGCTCCTCATTTGGACGACCAATTCATTACAGAAACCGTTTGACGAGTCCGAAGTGTTTCTCGATGCATGTTCCACCAGTCTTGGCGCGAACACCTTTTTGCAATCGGCTCAGTAAAGATCTATCATTCCAAACAGTAACAGAGCTTGGAAGCAAGTAAAAACCATTTTTGACCCCTTCTTTGATAAGCCAATTGCTCTAAAACAAAGCTTCACTCAGCTTAAGTTGCAGCACCGGCCTGGCCTGCATTTTTCGAAGTCCGACACTGATCCCGATTTCTGGCGCGCTCCTGAAATGGGACCGCGCCCCAGAGCGTTCAGATGCCGATGTGGTGAAGCCGTTCCGGGCGGGGCATCGGCCAGGAACGTTGGCCGTCGTGGCAAAAGAGAAGATGCGACAAAGATCCGGGGTGAGTGCAGGTACTCCTAAACCTAAACATGAATACAGGATGATACAGGTACATACAGGTACCGTAGGTACCTGTTCGATATCATGTCCATCTTCTAGGAAACTTTGGAGGGTCCAGGTGCATGTGTTTATGTCCACAAAGATCGATGAATTCGCAGAATCAAGCTTTCCCGCTGTGTTCTTCGGGATTCTAAGGGCATAGGGTTCGATGGAGCTTCATCTTGAAGTCGGTTCTTAGGGGCCCAACATCGAACACAAGCAAAGAGAGGCCGCAGGGGTGCACGGCTGGGCCAGTCTTTCCCGCAGCTGTCCGACATGAAATGTCTCAGCAATATATGTTCTACGAGACTTCTTGCGCATCAGACTCGAATCCTGGCATGCAGAAGAAACCAGCACAATTAAGATACACAAGAAACTGGGAGATGGGCTGATGGGTCCTAGTTGAAGATTGTCCAGTGGTAGCTACAAAGCAACCTTCAAATGTCCTGGGAGTCATGTCGTGTGTCGTTCTTGGTCTCCTGGCCTACCTCCTCAGGTTCGGTGGTTAGACCCCTATGGCACCCACCCCAACCACCGAACCGAAACGGAGGTAGGCCAGGAGCCCTAAATTTGATTGGTCTCCGTTCCCTTTCCTGTCATGAAGCAAGAGACCCCAGAGAGTCAGAGGACCTCTCAGGTCTTCCTTTTGCTTCGATCTTCAGATCTGCTGGTGCTCGTGGATGGATTGGTTCAATCCAGCAGATGAAGCTCCGTTCCTCAAAAGCGGGTCCCTCAAAACCATTCAAGACCCACCAACTTCAAAGGAGCTCAAAAGATCTTAACAAGGATGTGCCAAAAGAAGCAGATCAGCTAGGCTACGTTGTTTTTGTTTTAAGGGATCCACTGGTCCACCCTTTGAGGTACGGTGATGTGATGACCCCCCCAAAGGGTCCAAGCACCGTACCTCCAAGCCCGGGGGTGGATCCATGGATCCCGGTTGAGCTCCACATGACCACCCTGCGCAGGTGAAAACGGCCTTCAGGTGACCGGCACGGTGCAAGAGAGGTGAGCAGGCTGAGCACGGGCGGGCTTGAGGGTGGGGGCACTGGGGCGGAATGCGCCACACACGGCGGCAGGCCGCATGCTGTTGTTTGTAAGCCTGGTTTTGATGATACAATTCATGCCGATGTTTGTTACAAGGAAGAAAATTCCTATGGGTACATCCCCTTCTGGTGAAGATGTATCACTCGATTCCTTAAGAAATAAATCTAAGTTGTTTGTCAGCGATGTTTTAAGGTTTGTGTGGGTGAACCCTGGGGAAGATGTCTCTTTTTTGTCTCGTCATGTTCCGAACAAGCAAACCCAAGCACTATCTACATGGACCCGGCAAAACAGTTGAACAAACAAATTACCCATCCCTGTAGGCAAATATTCCCGTCCCCGGGTTCCTCCTTTGTTGTGGAGCAGCTGGAGGATTTTGGACGGGGCACCGGGTGATCCAGAACTTAACTTCCCGAGACTAACGTTTGTCAAAAATAGACAAGAGGGACAGAACAGCAGCAGGGCAGGCGCTCTGGAGCTTGATGACACAAGCGCCCGCACCAGCGCCCGTGTCTTCTGCATAGCCCCGAAAAGAGATGATTCGTCCTTTGATCAGCCCAACCGTGGGTTGCGGGTCCTGGTGGCGGTTTGCGCTGGTTGTATTTTCGCGGGTCCCCTAAGCCTACCTGTAAGTGATCGGTGGCGCCTGGCATGGGTTCTGTGGAACCTCCTCGAAGAATCAACAAAGAATCCATCGGGAATATTATATATATAGTGTATTTGGCCAACATTGGTGGTGGTTGATCACAGGGGTCAATGCATAGGCAAAATTATACTGTAACATTCCACTCAATGCATTCTAAGCCAGGACCCCCCAACCCTGGAACCAGGAGACCTTTTTGTTGGAGTGTCTTCATGTTTGGACTTACTTACATGAATCGGAGACTATGGAGCCTCCATCGCAGCTCCATCGCAGGGGTCGAAGCCCCTACAACCCTGGTTTGTTCGGCTTCCCATTCTTAGGGCACTCCTCGCACATCCTCGCACGTACTAGCGTCCTTGCTCCTAGCAGCGATGCAAGGAACCCCTACTAGCGTCCTTGCTCCTACTCGCACCTCTTCCTGGGCGAAACCCTTGGCACTTGGACTGCTGAGACTGGCTCAAGCTTCTTGTGGAGGGCTAGGCGCCGTGTGGTCGGTGCTGCACGGCTGAGAGCCATGCAGATCTTTGTGAAGACCCTGACACTTCGACCGGAAACGGCCGGGCTTCGGCACGGGGGGGAACCCAGCGACCTGAAAGCCTTGACTGGATTTCTCCCGAGTGGTCTTACTTCTGAGGATGGAACGTGGAGAAAGGAAAACTGAGGGAGTCAGTTGATATGAGATCAGATGGCACAAGGTTCATAGCAGCTGTGCAAAACATATATAGCTTCGAATATAGCTACTTCTGGCAAACGCCCAGGCGTCCGACATGTCTTGGAGGCTCCTTAGTTGAGAACTCATCGGATCGATTGGAGGTTTGAACCGGGGGCCCTCACACGAGCTCTTGCGCGAGTGGCGAGTGCATGTCCTTTTCGCGGAGTTCACCTGGCATCGCTGTGACCAAGTGGTGAAGCTTGGGAACGTCCTCCCTGAAAACGGCACAGCCAAACCCAAATGCGCCATGCAATGCAAGCAAGTAGCCGACATTCACCACCAACAACCACCAATTGTAGGCCACATTTGTGCGCGTACATGGAGCGTTTGGACAATGTGCCTGGAGTTGAGGGGAGCTAAACTATAGCGCCTTGGCTCCTAAGGACCGGGAAGACCATTACCTTGGATGTCGAGGCCTCTGACACCATCGACAATGTGAAGGCCAAAATCCAAGACAAGGAAGGCGTGATCCATCGACGTGCAGGGATTCAGAGTGAACCACAGTCTCCACTGTTCGGGGGGGCGGTCTCCACAGTCTGATGGGCGATTCACAGTGGCTGAAAGGAAAGAGGGTCCCGCAGATCGATGAATCATTTTGGAGATGTGTTGTTGTTGTTGTTGTTGTTGTTGTTGGTTTGTTGTTGGTTTGTTGTTGGTTTGTTGCTGGTTTGTTGCTGGTTTGTTGCTGGTTTGTTGTTCGTTTGTTGATGTTTGTTGCTGTTGGGGTTTGTTGTGGGTTTGTTGTTGTGGGTTTGTGTTTGTTGTTGTTTTTTTTCTGCGGACAAGCTCACCAAGAACTGCCGGTTGAAAATGGACTGGGAGGTTTTTGACTTGAAAGGCTTAGTGGTGTCCGTAAACAAACCCTTGGTGAGCTCAGGGTGCAATTGTTGCTTGGTTCAACCGTTCATTTGGCAATCCTGAAGAGTACTTGAAGTTTTTTTTGGAATTCACTCCTTCAATTCAGTCAAAATGTTTACAAGTCCACTGTGTACAGTGTAGAGTGAGAGATGCCTCATACATCAATGACGTAAATCAACTCACGATCATACGGGCTCTCCAAGTTTCAGTCATTTGATGTGATGATGTGATTTCAGTACAGGTGCTTTCAGAGCAGATGGCGGCAACCCCTAGGCCCCATAGCTTCGAATGACATTTGTGTGTCCACGCGTGTCCACGCAGGACGTCTCTGGGCACGATCCATTGTGTGTGCCGGTCGAGCGATGTCGAGCCACCATGTGGTGGGCACATCGCTCGACCGCGTTGTGAATCAATGAACACAACTGGAACACCAATGAATTGAAGAACACCAATGATTGGAACACAACTGCGTTGTGAATCAATGAATTGAAGAACTTCACTGGCTAGACGTGACCACGTGGATGCGAAAAGCGACGGCCAGGCATCCCGCCAGACCAGCAGCGCTTGATCTTTGCCGGGAAACAGTTGGAGGATGGGCGAACTTTGAGCGACTACAACATTCAGAAGGACTGACAAAACGTACCAAACAAAGACTCAGATATTTCGAAATCTTGTGACGTTTAACTTGCGATGAATCAACTCCCCATATGAAAAGGATGTCCAATTCAAGCGGGAAGGCTTTATGAATCAAGAGTCAAGAGTGTATACATGATGTGCTGGTTGGGTTCCTCGATCATCGATCACGCGATCCGGTACACCGCCCCATGCCTGCCCATATGGTCCACTTCATGGCATGTGGTATTGTCCACCTGATTTGGCGCGGAAAGTTCCGGCAAATCCCTGGTTTGGCCGGTTCAGCCGATGTTTTCTTTTATGTCACCCTATGGATCAATCCTGGTGGATAGTTGTTTATTCTTTCGTTCCTGGACAGCAGATCCAATCCAAGTTCCGGGCGTTGCATCACTCACTGAGCAACTAGACCCCCATGCTTCACACCCTGTGCAACGTGGACTCAGCCGTCCCCCGCGCTTCGGATCGGTGAGCGGCATTCAGCGGCCAGGAATCCACCCTCCACTTGGTGTTGCGTTTGCGAGGGGGCGTCATCGAACCCTCCCTGGCGGTCTTGGCACGGAAGTTCAACTGCGAGAAGATGATTTGCCGGAAGTGCTACGCGCGCTTGCACGCGAGGCAGCGGGACTGGGTGGGTTGCACTGTTGATGACGGGAAGAAATGTTTGGAGTTCCCATTGTGCGCTGACAATCCTATGTTGAGTGAGTTTTTGCGGGCTGGCCTTTTTTGCAAGCAAGGTTTCAAGGAAAACATTGACGCTAAGAAGCGGGGCACCTGTGTTCCTTTTCGGCCAGGGCGGTGAATTGCCGCAAGAAGAAGTGCGGCCATTCCAACCAGCTGCGACCCAAGAAGAAGCTGAAGTGAAGAGAGCCTCAAAAGACTGGACGGACTTCGCGTGGAGAAAAAGGTGGCCATAGACCTTGTTCTGCGAGTTTTGTTTGGTTTCCGTATGTTTCCTTCGCGCCCAAAGTCTGTTGCGAACCTTTTGGCAGGTGACAGTGAGCGGCCGCATGTCTGATGCATTGTGGCATGCTTTCCTGTCCAATCTGTTCGGTTGGAGCCGCGGCAGTGCTGCGACGAGAAAGATGCTGACTCAAGGCGTTGCGGCAAGTGACGGACTCCCTTAACCAGGTAACCAGTTACCTGGTTTTGCTTAGTGTTTTGCTTCAAGTTGTTGGTTTATTTTCCCTGTGCAGTGGGTTAATCCCCTGTTGGTGAATATGTTTTTGACCCAGTTCCTCAAGCAAGTCCAATATTCCTTGCGCAAATCAATTGAATTCGGGGGGGGCAGGGCGGCTCATAAATTCACCATGGGTGGTTTTTTTGCGAATAGAGGCGTTGGTTGATGGTTACAACGATGTGTTGTTTTTTGGGGAGGGATTTGGGAACAAACCGGTCAGTTACAAATACATGTGGTTGAACCGTGCCACTGTTTATGTGTCTTGTGAATTGGAATTCGGATGATTTGGATCGTTGCCGTTTTGCTTAGAACATATATTTGCACTGTGGTGAAGCGTCCACGCTGCATTTTTCGCCTCAGAATCAGAATTCGATAATTAATTTGCAGATTCGATGTTCCTTTCCCAGTCTACCATGCATCAGCAAATATGCAGACAAGAAGGTAGGCCTGAAAGGCATCGTCACACGAGTACTTGCAATATCTTGCAATCACAAAGGTGTGGCAAACAGCATGATGCTGCAAAAGGTTCAAACACATTTGGTGAGGATTGTGTTGACACCATCACGAAAATTTTGGATTTGAACGATTGTTGCAAGGTGAACACAGGTTGCAAACAGTCTCGAACAAGTCAATACATTGAACATGAGTTCGGTTGTTTTGAAAGTGTTACCCCCCCATCCAACAAACATGGAAGTGGGCAATCCCCTATGTGTAGATGCCATTTGTATTTCCAGGTGCTATGTGTCTGTGTACATACCTTACAGATGCCTTAGTTTCAAACCAGGATCTGGAAAGAACACAGAAACTAATGACCGGTCACTCCGGTGTAGCACCATCAGCCGGTTTTCGCGATGGTGTCCAGCCCGAATGATAGCTTAGGTGTCTTGGTTCAACGGAGCATCGGCACATCGGGACATCCATTTGGGAGACATGGGACGGTACCCACGGAGATGCACGTGTGGTTTGAGGAGGTGATATTTTCAAAGTTTGTACTTTTAATTTATACATATTTTGTATAATACTGTTAGTGTTTTATGTTTTTTTTGGGGGGGGGGCCAACAAAAAGGACTCTGTGTGTGGAGATGATACCAGCATGCAAGTGTTTGTTGCCCCAACATGTTTCTATTTAGGTGGATTCTTGGACGAGTCAGTCACGGGACGTGAGGGACTCGTGATGGGAGTGAGGTTTGCAAGTGCGAAGTCTCAGCTGCTGGGAGTCGAGCGCTGAGAAGTGAGGCTGGAAGGATGCAAGTCTTGAGGTGATGTTTTCTTGTTATTCCTAATTATATGGGTACTCTTTTTTTTTATGGGAAGTGTGTGTTTGTTTCTGAAGCAAATCAACGTTATGTTGGCTATACAAGCACTCGTTAAAACCAGAGCACCATGGAGCAGCTAAGCAGAAAACACACACATTTTAAATCACTGCTCGGCTGCAAGGACATACTAAGATGATCTAAGATGATACAAGATGAATGTTTCAAGTGATAGATGACCCAGATAGATAGAAAGATATTCGACCCAGCATATAGTAGGCCCGGGTTTAACCGATATGCCGCCGGTGGGTTTGTTCTTTTAGCGGCGAGGCCTGGAGTCATCGGGCGTGGCGAGTCGGCTGGAACCGAGGTATGGTTCCATTCTTTTGCCTCCTCCGGACAGCTGCGAGGACGGAGGGATTGGGCTGTGGGTGCCCCCCTGGTAACTTGACCTCCCACAAGTCATGTGGTAGGTCAAGCAAGGTATTTGGGTTCTGATCCATTTCTTGAAGAAAGAGCTTGTGGCAAATCGAGAGAGCTCACGAGCTGCGACTCACGTCGACCTGGAAGTGGAGGGAAAAAAAAACATGAAAGCAAAACACATTGAACACACCATGTAACACCCCCTGTTTGTAGAAGAAAGTCCTTTTCCAAAGAAACCATGGTTTTTGCTCACTTCCATCGTGATGGTGTTCCTCAGAGTGGTGGGTGCTTTTTTCTGTGGTGTCGACTCCCTGGAACGATCATGGTTCGTGGCCCGTGGGCCAACCGGCACCACGGGCCGACAAGCGGGTCGCAGGCCCATGAAGGAGTCGAACGATCAAAACAATCGCTGAGTTCAATTTGTTGGATTTGGTTGAGAAGACAGGTACTCGCTGTGTTTTCTTCTGAGTGGTTGCCCGAATTGACGTATGTTTAAAGGGGGTGGTCCCGGGATGGTTGAAACTACCAGCCCTTCCTGAATGACCGTTCAGTTTATTTGAAGCTGACCAGCATGCCAGCATGCCGTGATCAAGGCGCGAATGTTTGCTGTCCACTTAAGAAGCACGGACATGGTGGATCAAAGCAAATCCTTCAACATCCTTTAACTATGGCATTGAATACATCCTGTTTGAAGAGAAAGCGTTCTCTTGTATGTTTTATCAAGGCAATGTTGTCATTTCCAGGAAGCAATTCAGAGGGAATGCACATTGTTTTTCTTTGTTTGAGACCATCTTTTACTCGTTCTCAGTGATGGGAAGTTGACCCCAAGGTGTTCCTTGCACCTGGTTATTTCCCAACCTAGAGGGTGGGTACTGCCCCGCAGGGCACCATGTTGGTGCTTGTAAGACAGCTGTTGAACCAACCCATAGCATCCCAAAACTTGTTTTTTTGGTTTAATGGTTGGTTGATATATACGTTTTTTTTGTTAAGAGAGAGAGAGAGAGAGGGGATACCTTAATTCAAGTGACTAATGGGTACATGAACCATCATGAACCCGTCGACATGACAATAGGTATATTTGACTAAAGGGCAAACCAACCTTGGGAGTACTGTCCCAGAAAATTGGAGGAAACAAACCAGTAGAGCAAGACTGTCTCCGAGTCATTCTTGGGTTGTGCAAGTCAATAAAAGGATGTCCAAGGCTTCTTGGTGTGTTGGCGAGTGAAAGACCAAACTAAACTGAGGTGCTTGCCAAACTTTGGAGTTCATAATCCATTCGCAAACTGATCTCCGAATCTGGCACTTTGGCATGACTCCATGACTTCATCCGAAAGCAAGGGCAACCATCCGAAAGCGGCGTTTAAAGCCGATCCAGAGCGGTTTCAGGAACCGTTTTCGACCCACGGCGTTCCGGGTGGTGGAAGCGACCGGGGACGGCACCGAAAAACGCACCCCAAAACCGTACCGGTGGACATGATAAACTGAGGCGGGTTTGACTGGGAGCAGTCAATTAAAGTGAATAGATGTGTATTCCACCTAGCACGTCAGTCAACCCCTTGTGGTCACTATCCAAACTCACTACAAGAAAAATTTGGTTCAGACTATATACTGTAGGTCCATTTCTAGTACTTGTGCAGTCCATCTCGCTGTGATTTTCCTCATCCGTCAGGAAGATTTCCTCTCTGGAGACTTGGTTCCCTTGGGTGAGCTTCGCGTGGCTCGGGGGCTCAGATCCTGGGGTGTTTGTGTTCTTGTTTTTCTGCATCTCGGAACCTACAGGCATAAGACAACGTCGTCGCTTCTTTTGGCATCGGAATAGTGGCAACGGATGACTAAGGTATGACTTTGCGAAGTTCCTGTATCCTGTCAAGAACCTATCCAAGAACTTCCACCACAAAACCTCAGCAGATGCAGCCAATCTTACATTGAAAGGGCCTAAACGGCCGAGCTAGCGCAGCTGTGTCACCAGGCTGGAATGTCTGACCATGTTGTTTTTTCTTTCGTTGGAACAAGGCCTTGTCGGGCCTTGACCAGTTCAGAAGCTTGTTTCACAGCCCGAAGTCCTTCACATGCTTTTGAGCATGTTCTGCGCAGCTATGAGGGAGCAGGGAGCACTGCAGAACTGATTCAAAGAAATCTTAGAACCTTCTTGTCCCAGATGGGCTGGGTATCTTCAGAGGGAGATTGGCCAGATTGGCCTTTCAATGCCTCGCCACCTTGGCCTCGCCATTCTTTGCCTGTCTCGCAACTGAACCTGAAACAGACTGAACGACATTGAAGTATTCGATTCCAACGACCCAAGCAGCTGATGGAGACGTCCAGCTTCCCCGGCAGACGTCCAGGTCTCTGCTTGGTTTGGCGACGCCAACGACCCAAGCCTTTGCACCGAGATCACCGAAGAGGCCGGCGTGGTGGAAGGTGGATTGGTGCCGTGGAACCCTTACGCCATGGCGAACCCTTACGTCATGGTGGAAGGTGTATGAAGGTGGGTTCTCAACCTTTTGGCGGCTCCCGTACTGTACACTGCGGGGATGTTCGAGGGATTTGTCTTTCACTGGCAAATAGCTGGTAAGAAACCACCCAATGGTGCAATTGATGTTTTAACCGAACTGCGGAGCTTCAGCTTCAGATGTTTCAGTGGTGAAATCATGTGAGGCTTCGCGGCTTCGTCTTCGCCTTCGTTTGAGCTGTTTTTGAGGAATTACAGGGAGTTCTCCTCTTTTCACTGGCTGGGCACTTCGTGAAGTGCTTAGAGACCCAGACACTCCATGGAACTGGCATGAACTGGCATTGGGGGTGGTTGTTTTTAGGTCAATGTGGCTGAATGATGGGCTCTAGATATGAACAAAAAGTAAAAAGTCATCTACCAGGACCCTCCAACAAGTGTCTAGAGGTGAATGGGGTGTCCAAAAGCCACCGGATTTGGAAGGACTTGGTATAGGGTTCCTTCAATTGTTTAACTCACCCTGTTGAGCTCCTCAACTCGCAACCTCACTCAGGTCTTTGGACCTTCTTCAACTACTCAACTCACCAACCAACCTTGGAGC